TTGCTCCGTCAATGCTCGCCGCGACGACGACATTGTGCCCTGCCGCGCTTGCGCCGCCTGTCCGAAATGCCCGAACCACAAAACCCTCTGCTCTGTTTGCCCTAATTCCCAAGAACCCTAGTCCTTTGTATGCCGTTGGATCATAGCCTAACCTTTCGACATTTCTTGGCCGTGGGATCTTTCCTTTTGGGCTCAAATGCAAAGGCTTTCTTCGGCCTTGCCGCATAGATTTCCAATACCCAGGGTTTCCCCTAGCCCGGCGAAGAGTTCTAGGGTTTGTGCCGAGGTGTCGGTGATGGATAGGAAGCGGCGGATGGAGCCGGGTGTCGGCGAAAGCAGCCAGAAGAAGGCGCTTTCGCTGCGCAAGAACAATGCGCGATCCGCGAGAAGCATCAGCTACATCCAGGTTCGATTCACTGCTCTTCCTGCTTTGCGATGCCCATAGCGGCGAGCTACTGCAGATTTTTGGGACTGGAATGGACACGGGAGAGACCTCGCCCTGCGTCCTTCTCTTTTTTGATAGCAAGCGGTTTGTTTTCAATGCTGGAGAGGTACGTTGCCAGAGAAGATAGATAGTTCTTACGCGAATGACATCTTTGGCAGGGTTTACAGCGTTTTTGTCAAGAGAACAAGATCAAGTTATCTAAGGCATGGAACGGTGGGATTGTTTTTCGTAGCATAGAAGTCCTGACTTCGGCAAAATCAAACTTGGCAGGTCGACCACGTTCTTCTTACTCGCGTGTGTTCTGAAACTGCTGGTGGCCTTGCTGGTAATTCATTTTGGCGACATACTCCAGAGCTTGACATTTGAGTATGTTGCAGGGGCGCTTTTAACACTCGCTGGCGACGTTGGCCTAACGGTATGAAGATTTGATTGTGAGCGTGATCCTTGTTTCAATGCTTTCCTTTCTTGTCAGCTGAACATCTGGGGTCCATCGGACCTGCAATGCCTAATAACTGCGATGTCTACGTACTTGCCAAATGCCTCTTTCTTCTATACGCATGCTTTCGGGAAGGACGGCAAACTCTTGCCTGAGCATGCAAAAGATCCCAATATTGCAGTTCTCCTAGAAGATGATTTGGTGAAGATATCGGCAGTGTTGCTGGTTCCATTCTCGGATAAGCAAGGTGAAGGTAGTAGTAGTTTCTGTTGATTTGTCCCTTTAGAAATCCTTGGCGTGCAGGCAAGAAGTTTAGACCTGGGGATGTCGCTGTAGTGTATGTTTGCGAGCTTCCCGAAGTTAGAGGCAAGTTCGATCCTGTGAAGGCAGCTGCTTTGGGATTGCGTCCAGGTCGCAAGTACGCTTTGCTTCAAAGTGGAACTTCTGTTCTTTCAGATGATGGGACAACAGAGGTAGCGTTTTTCTATTGAGTTTTATGTTCTTTTCACATGCAGAGTTTCAGATTCTTCCGGAGTCTGTCATGGAACCATCATCCCCGGGCCCAAAGGTTATTCTTGTGGACTGCCCGACAATGTTCCATATTCCGTCTCTGCTGACGGCAAACGGTTTGAAAGGATTGTACACTAGCGATGGCGCCGCGTCTGTGGCGTGCATTGTACACATGAGTCCTGCTATCGTGGTTAACGATAGTAAATACCAGGATTGGATGAGGCTTTTTGGCTCGACTGAACATATACTAGCAGGATCAGGATGGTAAGTTAGCTAAAAAATGAGTACCTTGTTTTTAATGTTTTTTTTCCCGGATTTTTGCAGCTCTAATTCTCTTTCCCCAATTCTCAAGTCTAGCGCAAAGATACTTTCCAAGCTAAATTTTGCATGTCCTTATGTTTTCCCTGTACCTGGTTACGGCTACGAATCATCGAAAAACCAGCAAATATTGTTGCAGCAGCAGGTTAGCTATTGTCTTTTTAGTTTTCCTTATGAGTGACTGACTCTTGTTTTTCAGAACAATTTGTCCGTCACCATTGCCAAGAACTTGTTAAAGGTTTGAAAGATTTGGGGACGGGCAAATTACTGACTCTTACGTGTCTGATGCTATCAGTTTCGTTTACTTCCGCTATCCGGTCTAGGAATGGATGGTTCTTCAGTTCCAGAAGCTTTTGACGGGAAGGTGCATACAGAGGAGCTGATTGAATGCGTACCCGAAATTTTACCACTGACGGAAAAACTCAAGGAATTTTGGAAAGCTTACGGTTCCAAGGACCTTGTCGAAGAACCTTGGTTCGATAAAGGTGCAGATTCTCGCTCACTGAGCTCCTCAAGCTTGACAAAGGAGATTCCCGACACATTGAAAGCAATAGGCAGGAAAGAGGTGGAGCTTATATTCCTTGGCACTGGATCTTCTCAGCCTTCGACATATCGTAATGTTAGTGCGATCTACGTCCACCTTTTCGCAAATGGGGGGATGCTTCTGGATTGTGGAGAGGGAACTTATGGTCAGCTACTAAGAAGGTACCGCGTGTTTCGGTGCTTGCTAGATTGTTTCTTACTGGGCTCTGGTCTGCAGGTTCGGACCAAGTACTGATTCCGTTGTAGCTGGCTTACGTTTGATTTGGATTTCGCACATCCATGCTGATCATCACGGTGGTCTTAGCCGAATACTCTCTGTTCGGCGGCAGCTTCTTTCCAAGTCTGGCAACGTCGAACCGCTTCTCGTGGTGGGACCAAAGTTGCTGAAACGGGTTCTGGAGGCTTATGATATGGTTGAGGACCTTGGGGTGGAATTCTTAGATTGTAGTCAAACGACGTTGGAAGCATCAGACATTGCGGCTGGAGGTCAACCGAAGGGATTCGTTAGCTCTATAGTTTCTGGATCACAGGAAGGCAGGTCCGGGCTCATGCAGTGGGTTCAGCGGGGATACCATCTTAGGAATGGACTGGATGAAGCTGGGAGGAGTAAACTGCAGGATACATTGCAAGCACTGGGTCTGAGCAGCTTAGTGAGCGTACCGGTGATCCATTGCCCACATGCATTTGGAGTAGTTCTTGAAGCTCAAAACAAGGCCGACACTTCAAAAGCGGGATGGAAGCTTGCTTATTCAGGGGACACAAGGCCTTGCAAGGCCTTTATTGAGGCCTCTTACGGCGCTACAGTTTTCATTCATGAGGTACGTTCGTTCAGAAATCCCCAAAAGTAGGATTCATATCCATGTGTTTTTGATACTTGACAGGCTACCTTTGAGGATGGAATGTCTGAGGAAGCGGTATCAAAGATGCATAGTTCAACTCACGAAGCCATACAGGCTGGGGCTTTGGCGCGAGCCTATCGGACCATCCTGACGCACTTCAGTCAGCGTTACTCCAAGGTGCCAGTTTTTGACGACAGCTACAACGATAGGACATGCGTGGCTTTCGACTTGATGAGCATCGATTTAGTTGATCTGCCCCTGTTACCGTCGCTCATCCCCGTGCTAAAGCTTCTCTTCAAGGACGATCAAGCTGAAGAGCAAGCCGTCCCCGAAGCTGTAGCACAATGACAATGCTCCACAAGGTTCGTGACACCTGTTTGCTAAGCTACTGACTTGGGTGACGTGGTTTCAGATGTGGAAAACGTGGCAATTGCGGGAACAAAAAATCTTTTTGCCAACCAGTCATCTCAAAGCATCAAGCGTGAGTGCCCGTTCAATTTTTTTATACCAATGCTTTGAAAAGAGATGACACTAAAAGAAAGCCTTTTGTGGGTCCAGGGAGTAATCGTTTTGTCGACACGGCTGCACAAATATGCCCGATGGGATTGGACCACTCAGCTTGATGTGGAATCTGTGGATGGCTGCTATAATGACGCTATGCTCCAATCATGGTCTTGCTGTAATGCGAATCGATCGGGAGCTTGTAAGTCCATCGTCCCACCTTATAATTCTTGTTAGTTGCTGCTTTACTTTTTTGTCTTCCAATCTTTGCTGGTGTTTGTTTTCTTGTTGTGCCGACTAATTCTCTCCTTTTTACAGCGGTTTCTATCTAGTCCAACCAATGCGAGCGAAGTTTCTGCTCAAAGTACACGTAGGTGTCACATTGTGTAAAGACTTAACCGCCTGGTTTTGGCGTACAAGATCAAGGAAAAAGGAAACGTCCGGGCTTTTAACGTGATTCCCCCCCGAGTCGCTTTCAGCTCCCAAACTTCGTTTTTTCTTGGTGGACTGAACAGCCTCACACACAGGTCTTCTCCGCGCATCGTTTCTTCGGTGTAGGAGGAACCAACGAGCACGCTTGTGCGACGCATGCGCCTTTTGCCAAGAAAAAAAAAGCTGTTTTGGAAGAGAACAAGTAAAAGTTCCCCTCGAAATCTTTGCCATAGACTGGAAGTTATTGCCATTAGTATAATTCTTTGGCTTAAGATTGGCCAGACTGAAGCCAATCATAAGATCTCCGTACAGGAAATCTCCCCTCAGTACGGCGGGGATGGGCCATGGCCCAAGGTGGCCAGGCAGACAGCCCCGCCTTTGTTTTTTCCTTTTCGTGACAATGCGGGAGCTGCTCCCGGGCGACGTGTCGTGCGCGCATTGGCCCCCGCGGTTAGTGGCCTTGAAAACACTCCGCCTTATCCTCATTGGCTGCTGGGCGGATTTTATTTTAGAGAAAGGAAACACAAGCTTATTTTCATTCATTTCATGTTATACGGACCAAATAAAGTGATGGAATGGAAAGCTTAGGGAATAAATATTAAACAATCTAAGCGTTTGATCGCCCCTCGATCCGACAGTATCCAACGGTCCAAGGGGGAGGTGATAGCTGGCCGCAGATCTATTACCGCACACGTCCCCGTCACACCGCCATCCGACGGCCCAAAGATGAGACACACTGTTTTTTAAAAAGGGCCCTGCACATTAAAATCCCGGCTGACGGATTCCGTACCTCCCCTGGTATGGGCCCCCCCGATTCTCCGAAGTACGGTCGCTGACCCGACCGGATTCTATTCTATAACCCATCACGCATGACGGCCATGGCTGATGGCCCAGCACCAGTGAAGGCTCTTCGGTTGTCCTTGTGTACACACCAACACACCATACACCCAACACACAAAACACAACGAAAGAAAGAGAGAAAGAGAGAGAGAAAGAGGGACGGATGGGTGTGTTCTTGAGCTTCTAGCGCGAGCTAGGGTACCGTTTTCCATCACGGGATCGCGGGAGGAGCTGTTGACGGGAGGAGCGATGGCGTCGGCGAAGCGGCGGCCGTGCTGGACATAGCCTATTCCAACGGAGGAATGCGCGCGCGCTGCAAAATATTTCCAGGTCCGCCTCATGTTTCTTGAGCGATCTCTTGGATTGGGGCCTTCTTCCTTGATCGGTGCGCCCGGCAATGCGCTTGGCGCCTTGACCTAGTGCCCGCGGAGGCGCGTTTCTTCCTTCTCTTTCTCTAGGAGCTCTTTCCCTGCTTGGTATTTCGAAATTGGAGCAGCGGGAATTCGTCAGCGGTGATGCTCGCTGAGCACTTCGTCTCTGGGAATATGGAGAATGGTGGGGATTTCGGCACGGCCAGGCTCGATTGGGAATGGGACAACGTGATGATGCTGCCAGCGGCAGGGATGAATCGGAAGCTCCACAGCGCTGATTGGAGCGAGGAGCCAGTGATGGGATCAGGCAAGGGTGGTGGCGGCGTCTTCTCTTCCGTCGCCGTCAAGCACGAGAGCTCGGGTGGGGAGATCCTGGACCTGACAAGATCCAAGCCCGACAGGAAGGCCAATGAGCTGATTGCCTCCCCGGAGAAGCCTTCCTCCAATTCCTCCAAGGACTTTTTCCTGGGGCTGAGTGGAGGAGTTGCCAGTGGTGGTAAAGGCGACATGGACAAGATCAGCGAAAGGGCGGCGATGGCTAATGGCGACGCGGAGACCGGTCTCAAGCTTGGACTCAAGCGTAGTTTCACTCCGGATAATCTTGCCGATGGTAACGCCGCCGCTACGACTGCCGCCACCACCTCCACCACCATCACCGCTACCACCAACAACAGCAAAGGGGGGTCTCCAGGGAAGAAGCCTCGCGGCTCCGCGAATCACACACCGCGTTGCCAAGTCGAGGGATGCAAGACGGATCTCTCCTCGGCCAAGGACTACCACCGGAGGCATAAGGTGTGCGCAATGCACTCCAAATCGGCGAAGGTCAGTGTCAACAACATCGAGCAGCGCTTCTGCCAACAATGCAGCCGGTAATTTTGCGAGAGTAGTCCTCGTTTCTTTTCGAGCCTAAGTTTTCTAGCTGCTTTGTTCCTTTTCGCCAGGTTCCACGTCCTGTCCGAGTTTGACGAAGGCAAGCGAAGCTGCCGGAGGCGTCTGGCCGGCCACAATGAGCGACGTAGGAAGCCACAGCCGGATCCAATGGCGTTGACAAGCGCCGCGCTCTCGCCTTACCAGGCCGGCTTCATGAGGCTTGCTCGTGGTGATGGATTACTTTGTTGTTGCTTTGTGTGTTACTGAAACTCTTTCTTACTTTGTTCCAGATGAGCGTCTGCTGGGTTATGGGACTCCACTATCGTACCTCGGTGTGGACAATTTACACGGCAAGCTCTCCTGGCCCAGGTTTGGAAGCGTCGATGATCACACGGGTCTCGTCTCGGGCTCGTCTAACATATCCAGGCCGGAGCGCTTCTTCATGCTCTTCCCTCCAAGGAAGGGTCCAGCGATACTCAACAGCGTCGGCCATCACGGTGTCCATCAGTTCATGCAAGGCTCCGGCTCCATGGGCCAAAACCTGACGCTCTCGTCACCCTCGGCGTCGGGTGTGTACGCCGCCGGCATAGGCCCGCCCAGCCAAGCCTCGCACAACGCAGCCGCGGTGTCTGACTCTGGTCGTGCTCTCTCTCTTCTGTCATCTCAGCCATGGACGAGCCCCCATGACTCGATGGAGCAGCTCATGTCCGAAAGCCGAGCTCCTTACAACTCGCAGCAGCAGCAGCAAGCAGCGAGTTACTCGGGGAATTCCCCGGTCCGGCAGCCGAGTTACGGCTCTCCCCAGGTGTTGCCACAGCAGGTTTCTCAGGGAAACATAGCGGTCGTAGCTCTGGAAAGCAGGAGTAGTGCTCAAGCTCAGCAGCAGCAACAAGGTGGCGGCGGTGGCTCGTTCCTGCCTGGGATAAATAACTACGAGAACCACGCGGTGCTCACTCTACTCCAGGAATCCGAGCTGCGGAATTTACAGGAGCAACAGCAGCAGCATGCCGCGAGGCCGACGATCGATCTCATGCAAATGTCAACAACGCAGCCGCCAGCGACCGTCGTAATCCAGCAACCGCAAAGTTCGTCCGATTTTCAGGTGCTCAAGCCGTATGGTTCCGGACTGTATGATCCGCACCAGCTCTGAGGGCACACGCGCTCTCCTCCGTGTCCTCGTCCGTTCGTCCGTTCGTCCCAGCAGAATTTAGGAGTGGTGGCGATCGAAACAAGCGACAAGGAGATTATATCGCTAGCAACCAAGAAGATCTATCAATCTTCTTCTATCTATCTATCTTCTCAGTGATAAGTGGCGACTTGGTCGAAGTGCCCTCTCTCCCTCTCTCGAGGTACCTGACAACACTACGCACTTCCAGTTTGCATTTGCCATCTTTGTGTGCTTTTTCTTTTCTTTTTTTTGGTTATCTTTTTCTTTTTTCATCTTAACTTTGTTTCTAGGCAGATTTGTATCATCATCTATTCAGGAAGGAAGATCCAAGAGAAGACGAGAACATTAAAAGAACTACAAAAAAAATGAAAATTAGAAGTGGAAAAAGAAATTATCCTTTCTTTTGATAATGCATTTGTTAGGATTAGAAAAAAAGAAAAAGTAGAGGCGAATTTTTCCACGTTGTTCGTGTGGTGGTGGCGACATTACCCCGCGTCCAGAAAGTATAAATGGATACGAATATCCACCCGTATATTTCCTGTGCGGCCAGCTACCGGCATTCAATGCGGCCCAGAGACAAAGATTTGCGTTTGACGAGCGGTGGAATATCCAGTTTTGTTCTTTTAGGGCTCCCTTGGCCCAAAGCCCTAATTCTAGACCAATCTGGTGTAGAGCGAGAAGAGCCGGTTGTGCTGTGTTGTTAGGGTTGAGAGGAGTCCTCCCGAGTCGGACGCTGGCGAGCCCAAGGCGTGATCGCCGTTGTTAGACGGTGGTGGTGGTGACGATCCCAGGATCAAATTGTTGGCGGCGGCGGCGGTGGTAATGTTGTTGCCAGTGTTGTTAGTCGTGCAGGTGGTGGTGGAGTTCGTCACGGTGGACGCTGCCGGCACCAGGTTCTTGATCGAGTTTGTGGCGCTGTAGCTCACTTTGCTCGCCTCCGAGTCGTCCCGGGATGCCGACGGCGAGCTGCTGCTCTTGGGGAGCAGCGCGCTGGGCTTCGTGTCGGCTACACACACACACACACGATCAAAGTGCTCAGCGCAAAGTGTCGGAAGAGCTTGGCTTCGAAAGCGATGTCATTCTCCGGGAGGAGAGAGCTTACCACCGCTAGAGTGTGTTGCTTCCGAGCCGCCGCCCCCGCCTCCTCCTTCGTGGGACTCAGACTTTCCAGCGGCGGAGTCACCGGCGGTGGAAGTCGAAGCGGCGGCGGCGGCGGCGCTGGCGCTGGCGGTTGTGGTGGTGCTCGTTGGCTGCGGCTTCCGCCTCCGCCGGTTGTGATCGGCCAGCCGCTTCCGGCAGCTCCGCTTGGAGTCGTCGAACTCGGTTAGCAAGTGGAATCTGGATGATCACACAAGATCGAAACTCGTCAGAGAAAATCTCATAGCGATCACATGAATCGCGAATCGGCACGACCGACAAACTTATTCCCTCCATCCAATCCAATTTCGCACACACTGAGAACTGTAGCTGTGTAGCTGACCTGGGGGAGCTACAAGCAAAGCGGAGAAAACCAAGAAAACTTTCTCGTGCTCGATGAAAGCTTGCCGGTGCTGTGTGCCTAGCTAGGCGTAGCTCCCACACACACACGCACAGGAGAAATGAAGGCCATGAAGAGATGCAACGACATATTCCATTCCTTTCCACCCAATCCACTCAGTCCAGCACAGTTTTGCTTTGCACGCGGATCAATCAAGCACACAAAAGCAAAATCGGAGAAGAGAAAGAGATCAACAGCAGCGAAGAACAAGAACACACAGCTATAACTGCAGTTTAGACGAGAGTTCTTCGAACGAGTACGTAACGCGTTTCGTACTCCCCGCTTAAAACAGCTACCATTGTAGCTCGCACTTGACAAAACCAAACATACAAAACAAAGACGAAGAAGAAAACTGGAAAAACGAGGACAGGCTCAAATCAATCAAGTAATGGAAAGTGCAGGCCATCTCCCCAAGAAAAAAACGGTTTTTACAGAACAGAAAGGGGTGAAACCACCAACGTGAACTGCTAGGAGCTCGAAGCTTTGGGACGAAAGCTATGAAGAACAGGGAAAAGCCATGATATGATCATGGCCGGGTGGCGGGAAGAAACAATGGTGGCGTTGCCAAGGAGTTGACGATGATCTCACCCAACAAAGGAGGGAGCAGAAAAACGAGAGGGAGCGAAAGATGACTGACCTGCTGCATTGTTGGCAGAAGCGCTGGGTCTGATTGTTGGCGATCACGTTTGGAGCCTTGGAGTGGAGCTCGCACACCTTGTGGCGGCGATGGTAGTGCTTGGCCTTGCTCAAGTCCGCGGTGCACCCCTCGGCCTGGCAGCGGGGGACGTGAACCGACGGCCCGTTGAGCCGCGGCCGCTTGCCAAACCGCGCAATCAGCGAGTCCTCGGCCGAGAAGTAAGTCCGCCCCCCGAGGTTCAATCCAATCCTCCCATGCAGCCACTCGTTCATCTGCTGCTGCTGATCGTACTGGCTATGGCTGCTCGAATGGTGGTGGTGACCCAAGAACTGGTAGTGCTGCTGCTGCTGGTGGTGGTGGCTATGGTGTTGTTCTTCGCGCTTGATGTAATTCCACAACCCACCTAGAGCTCCCAAGTTCCCGGAGCTGGATCGCTGCTGCGCGGCATGCTGCTGCTGCTGGTGTTGCTGATCGGTCGACTCCACGTCCATGAGGCCGAAGAAGCTGCGCCTTTGCTCGAAAGTTCGCAAATCCTGCTGCTGCTGATGTTCTTGGTGGTGGTGGTGGTGGAGCTGATGATCCGGGACGTCGAGCGCGGTGGCGCTGCCAAGGATCCCGTTTTGCTGCTGCTGCTGCTGGAGCAGCGCTAGTGTCATGGGATTCGTGGACGAGGAAGTTGACGATCGTTGCTGCTGCTGCTGGAGCATCGTCTGGAAGTGGGTGCCACCGCCAGTGGTACCGCCGCTACCACCGCCGCTACCGCCACCGCCACCGCCCGAGGGTGGGAAAGTGCCGCCTGGGAAGCCACCAGCGCCGCCGGCACCGCCGCCATAGCTGCTGGGAAAGACGAGGCCGCCACCGTGCTGCGAGGAGGAGGAAGAGGTGGAGGAGTAAGAGCTGGGCCTGGAGAGAATTAGCGGCTTGAGCTCGTGGCCTTGCTGCTGCTGGTGGTGCTGCTGCTGCTGCTGATAGAAGAGATTGCTCGTGCTAGTGGTGGTGGTGCTCGACTGATCCCATGGAGATATCTCCCACTGATCGCCGCCAGCGCTGCTGTTCGTCTTGGAAGAATGGTGGTGGTGGTGGTGGTGAGCGGCGCTGTTGGAGGAGGGAGCCGCGGAGAGCTGGTGGTGGTGGTGGTGATCTTGGTGGTAGTGGTTTTGATGATTCGATGCGAAGGGATGCATCGTGAGATCCCAGGAGCTCTGCTGGTGGTGGTGATCGCTGGATCCTCCTCCTCCTCCGCCTCCTCCAGCAGCGGCAGCCCAGAGCGGCAGACCAGATCCTCCAGCCGCTGCCGCCGCTGTTCCCGAAGGATTCATGGCACTTACTACTAACGCCAGTCTCGAGGCCGATCGATCGATCCCTTGGCTTCCTTGTTTCCAGCGCTAATTCGCCTCCTCGGCCATCACTGTTGCTCTCTCCTCTTGCGTGTTCGTTCTTCCTGGTACTAGCTCTACAGGAACTATGCGATAACTATTGCCGATCCATTTGCTCGGGATTGTTTGCTTCCTCCGCGGCTACCATGGCAATTGGATTACTCCCAGCCACATTGCTCCAGCTTCGCGGGATCTTTCTCTTCCTGCAACAACGTCAAGTTTGTATGATCATTCTCGAGAAAAAACGAGAAGTTGCTGCCTGGAACGAGATGGAAAAACGCGTTGGAAATCACAAGCAGCGAATGGAATCGCTGCTCCCAAACGGGCGAATGGAAACTGAGAGTTAGCCTGACTCACACTGCAGCGCTGCTAACACCAGATAAAACAAAGAAAAACTCTTCACTCCAAGTTCTACAAACAACCACGAACGAGGAAAAAGAAAACCAAGAAAGAGAGAGGATGATGTTTGAGTACCTGGTGGATGATAGCTCGTAAAGCAAATCTCTTCAGGAATCATGGCTGACGAGCACACGAGAAATCGAGTTGGCCGTAAACTCCGTGCTGCCATAGCGTCGTCCACACACTGCCGGGAAAAAAGAAAGAGCAGCGAGAACTTCGACTCGTCCTTTTCATGTTTTCTCCTCCTACCAGCTACTGCTACTCCCGTGGTAACTTTCTAAGATCATCCTGGTCGTCATCTCTTAGATTCCAGCATTATTGAAACCAAAGCGGCCGCTGCCCCTTGATCCGAAACGAGCTTTCGCTGTGCTACTCGCGCCCTGAGCTCACAGATTCCATCTCTTTTGTCGCTCGCTGCCACTTTTCTCCTCGCGCTCTCGAGAGCACGGCCTCTCCAGGGGCCAAACAAAAAGAAAGTGTGACAAGGGGAGAGAGAAGAGAAAGAGAGAATGGAATCAAGACAACGTCCTGGCTGCCCAACAACTTAACCAGACAGGATAGAAGGAAATTCGTCCCAGAAATTCATCCACAAGAAATCGCAAACTTGGAAGCAAATAGGAAGAAGAAACAAAGAACACAGAGAGAATGAGTGAGAGAGAGAGAAAGAGAAGTGAGATTCTCCCAGAAAAGTGTATAGAGAGTGTGTGTGTTTGTGTCTCCTTTGTCGAGTGGAGCCTATGTGTGTTCCTAGCTTAGTATGGCCTCCAGGAGCTACAAACCTGCTATATCATCATCTTCCGCCATAGCCAACTAGCTCTTCAGACCTCTCTCGCTCGCTCCTCTCTAGAAGCTTTGCTTTAATCTTAACTTAAAACTAATTCCCCCACGCTGAGAAGATTAAAACTCCAAGCCTCGCTCGCTCGCTCGCTCGCTCGCTCCCTTCTCGTAGCTAAAAGATTCTTCTTCTTCTTCTTCTATCGAGAGTTCGTCTTCGTCTTCTGGGAACTTGGCCCGTTTCCCCGTGAAGTTCTTCCTTAGAATCTGGCTGAGGTAGTTTCCGTGATGACAGTGGTGGTACTCTACTGTAATGAAGTAGAGTCTTCCGGATATCACGGGGGGATTAAACTTCCAGGAGATAGTGTTGCAGTACTCTCCAGGAAGTTTAGACTCTCCCCTCCCTCCCGATTAAAACTCCCCTCTCGAGCTCGCTCGCTTCCTTTTTTCTTTCTTCTCTCTCTCGATCTGCCTCTCAACTAGGATGATCCGTGCAGGAAGAAAGGAACGCACACACACGCTCAACGAGAGAGGACAAGAAGGGGTATGAAAGAATGTGTAGAGAAAAAAAAAAGGGTATGTGTGCTTCGCTACACGCTGGCCAGATCAAATCAAACACGAAAAAAACACAGCATTGACACTGTTGCGCGAGAATTGCTCCACGCAGGGAAGAACAAAGGCGGCATTTTTTTACTGCGCTGCGGGGATCGAGGACAGGGAAGGAAACACTCTCGCGATGGATTATACAAGTCACTTAAACAAAACCACGAACGCTCTCAAACAAAAGCCTGCCAAAATCCAAGGCCCGAAAGGAGCGTCTTGCGAGCAGCGAGATTTATACTCGGCCAGAGCCACAACAGCACTGCAGCCTGGGATTATCACTGACCAGAATTCTGAGAACTACAATGAGATCGCAGAGGCTGGGCGATTTGAGAGCGATTCGCCACCCTGGAAAAACGAAAAATAAGATGCTCGTTTTTTGTGTTCTTTGGTTTTTACTCGGTCCAAAGTGCTGGGCTTGTTTGGCATTACACCACCACAATCTAGTACCACAACGAAACATTAAGAAAAATGTTGAAATCGATCGGCCACCTTTTTTTTCTTTTTTCTTTTCCCTTTTTTCCTTTTTTTCCTTGTAATGAAAGCTAAATTACGCAACTTTTCTATTTCTCATTCGAAAATTCTATTGGCCGACAATATCAGTCAGGTGTCCTCAGCAGCTCCGTCAGACCTGACAGAAAACACAAACGGACTCTGTTAGGGGTTTCTGTACGTGGAGGCCCTGCCACGTGTCTGCGCCTTACAGGCCCCGGTAAATGGCCACATTGTTTGCGTGCTCAGACACACGCACCAGGGCAGTGACTGGAAACATAACAAAAACAGCAACAGCTCTCAATTCACCCAAGAAGAAATAAAGCTCTTTTTCTTTTCTCCCGTACGGATATCCAAGTCGCGCTCTAGAAATGTCTGATCACGCCATGATCAAGATCTACAAAACCATAGTTTTATGTTTAGAGCCCGGGAGAGATTCAAAGAATGTTTGATCACAACGAGATGATTAAACCGACTCGGGTATTAGTATAATCCCAGTCTAATGGCTTTAGTTTAATGGTCTTCAGTGCCCGAGATGGTTAGGTGCGTGGTGCCACATTATCATGATCAAGGAAAACCATTAAAGTAATCATCATAGAATCTATGTCAGAAGGACTACTTGAATCTCGCCACCCTCTTTTCTAATTGCTAGAAAGCTGAGGAGTAGCTTTGGCATATTAGCAGTGATGATGATCAGCACCACCGCAAAGGACGTTGATACAAAAATGCCGCCAACTTTTCGCCCCAAGCGAACACCACACGGTTCCCAGTGCCCTAATTTCGTACGAGCTACTCAGTGATTCAATGCATGCTCGTTCTCGGCTTACAGACCAAGCGAATTGTGGGGATCTGGAAACTTTGATTGGAGCTAAAGCTTCTATAAGGGTAACCCTAAGCTAGGAATTAGATTACTAGCCAGCAATCACCCTCCTTCGCATCGGGAATGGAAGAGCGGCCAGCCCTTTCCACCACGCACAACAACACAAGAGTTACGGAGGCCGTAAAAACGCTATGTCACCACCAGCGCCACCCTCAAACGCTCCCAAATGTGCAAAGTCCCACGTAAAATCCGCCGGATAAACCACGACTGTTTTTAACTTGGAGGGGTAAGTTTCTCGGTGTGGGCGAATAACAGCGATGCTTGGCACATGAGAAGGAGTGCTTGCTTGTTGTTTGTTGGGGCTACGGTCGCCCGGACGTAAATGACGGACGTTGACGCCCGCGGTCGCATCGGTCGCGTCGCTGACTCACGGTCAACCGGGAAATTGGGCTGGGCTGTTGCGATTTGATCCCGCAACGGATTTGATCCCCTCGTAGACGAAGCTACTTTCGCGGCATCTGGGCGGCGCGGCATCTGGGCTGCTGTTAAAACCATCTCTCTCTCTCTCTCTTACACACTGAGAAAATCATGGGAAAGACCAAGGTGTGGCAAACTTTCCTTGTCTTGGCATTTAGCATTGGATGCTGGATTGGACAAGATCGATTTCAATCCCCATCGGCCGGGTCATACACGCAATAATCCCGCATTCGTCCGTGAGTCCCATCCCGGCATCCAAAAGGGGCACTTCGAGAAGGAACTGATGAAACAAACAAGCAAGCAAGCGCCTCTCTTTCATTCCTTGCTTTTGCAAGGCTGTAAAGCTCGCAACGCATGCACTATAACTTCCTGGCCCAGGAAACCTAAGAAAGATTGAAAAGCCCGCCACCTTTTGTCTCATGACACACCGCTTCCTTCAAACAGAACGCGACCGTCAACTTCGCCGTCCGTAGCCCTAAGGAAAATTGCGCGAAGCGATGATTAGCACTAATAACAACCGGGGCCGGACAGACGCCTTGCTGTTAGGTGGATGTCTTGTACAATTGTACGCAACTGTTATAGCTATACGCCACCACCAAGCTACATGTCCATAACAACATGTACACTCCCCCCAGGCAAGTTTCATTCCCAAATGGGAAGTTCCAAGTTGCCAGCCATTTAAGCCCACTGGGAGAGAGATTTGAATGGAGGCCAACGCAACCCCTGTCCCTGTGTTTTTGTGGCTTCTCGCTGCTCCCCAAGCTCCTACTCGAGTGCTTGGCCTCGTCTCGTACACGAAACATAATCACAAAAGCTCCCAGGACACGACATGACCGTCTGGTTTTATACTATACTATACGGCCATAAGAGAGAGAGAGAGAGAGAGAGAGAGAGAGAGAGGGTGAGATCAATCACATAAAGGTATCCAGCAATGTTCAACACATATACGACCGGGAAAATCAAAAAGGTCAGTTTGGATGGCGGATTTAATCTTGAGAATTGCCTCTTTTGGGGCATTGTCAGTTCCGGGCATTCCATTTCAGGGGAGGTAAGAAGAATTAAAGTACGGCCCTACCTTTTACCCTTTCCGGATTAAATGGGGGGCCTGATTATTCGCGGATATTCCCGGCCCAACGACCGTGGACTGTAAGCATCAGCTGCCAGATTCATTTGGAACGCATGGTCAGAAGCAACAAACGACATGCGATTTGCACGTGAAGACCTAAAACCAAAAGTTTCAAAAGACCTTCAGACACCACCCAGGGGCCAGCAGACAGCCCACTCACAACAACACCCAACTACAAAATCAGGAAAAAAATAAAGGAAAAAGCAAAGAGAAAAAAATAAAGGGGGAAAATTCTTCGGTCATTCTCTTTGTTATATCAGCCTTTTGGGCCACAGGTACGGACGCTGGTGCGCGTCACGTGGCCGCGCCTGCAGTCCGTATGAATGAAGGGCCACCGACGGGCAGATATTTCGTGGCTGTTTTCTATTTTATTCTATAATTTTCTAATACAGCAGGTTTGCGAGTGTTTATCTTCTGTGAAAGAACGAAAATTGATTGATTGTCCTCCGCTTTGCATCCACCTGGGTGATTCTAGATCACGACATTTTTATGTTCTTGGCTCTGCTGGCTCGATGGATCGATGGGGACGAATCTAAGATCGCAAGAAAACGGGACTTTTGATCCGCCACCTTTTCATCCCCCGGCTCCTCCGGCGTGGTACGCACGTCACCCGGGCGTACGGCAGATGGGGGGTTGTTTGTTTACCCGGGTTTGTTTGTTTGTTTTGTTTTTTGTTTGTCCCCGCCACGCACGATGTCAGTTCAGTTTGGCACACAAGAATCGGTACGGAAGGAAACCCTGGGGTAAAACACTGATTGAAATTGTTGAATGGAACTCGAGGGTACTCTCGTTCCTTTTTTATCCACCGGGCAGATTCGGGCTTACGCATTGCATCACGGATGATGGAATAGAATCCGGGGAAAAGGAGGCAGAGGAAATCAACACTGTTGTGATTGTTTGAGAAAGAAATCTCTGGCGAGATCAGTCAGCTGCTATTCACACCTTTCCTTGGTCTCATTTATAATCGCAAAGTGATAGTCCTCCCCCAAGTTGATACACGAGCTCCACCACCCATAAACCTAAAACGGGAAATCCTCCTTCCCGACAGGGATCCCAATTGGCCCCCACATTTCCCCTCCATGCCATGTCATAACCCTGCGCATTTCCCCACCACCTCTATCATATCGCAATCTCTCCGAGCGTCTCGCGCGGGGCAATAAATGAGGGAGTTAGGCCGGTGACGTCACTTGTGTACGGACACCGGACAAACGTCTCGTCCCCGCGCCAGTGGCCATAATGCGGTCGGCCGTACCCCACCGCCGTCGCTCGCAACAACGGGGTGGGCCCCACTCCCCAGCCCCCACGTGTAAAAAGCGGCAAGCAGAATTTTCCCCGATCCCTATGACATGGAGCGAGATTACCACCAAAGATTTGGTTAGTTGATCAATACCCCAAATCTATAATATAGAACTATAGATGGAATTATAGAACCAAGCGAGAGAATTTGTCGCAGCCGTCCCTGTCGAGTCCCCACACTAAAAGCTCAGGAGCTAGATGCCACGATGCGGCATTTGTTCTCACAGGAAAGAGACGCCACCAAGGTGGTGACGAGAAAGAACGAAAGGGTGAAGAGAGCGAAAGCGAGCGAAAGCTTTAATCCAGCGAGCAAGCAATCTCTGTCCACGAGAATCTGAGGAGACAGATTTAGTTTTCCGGAGAAAACGAGCTGATCGATCCACCCCATCGATCCAGACATCTTAGACGAAAAGGAGAAAAAGAAAGAGGGATTCACAGAGGTCGCTAGGACAAGAACAAGAACTTCGCTATCCTTCTCTCTTGTTTTACCTTGTGTCGATTGTTTTACTGCTCGTCCGCTGCAAGAGATTTGAGTACATGCTGGCAAAGCCAGTCCGATTAAACTCTTTTGGTCCATTCAGCCGCGATCATGTTGAATTCCAGCGTTCGTATACTTGACATGTAAGCGAAAACTTCGTAGATTCACAGGAATAGGTCCTGAGCGTAGATGATAAATACCTGTTTCGATCTATTCGTCCCGGTCTACACAGAGCATCGTTTGAGAAAGCTCTGCGTTTCAAACATAAACAAAGCTCGCCGTATTAAAATACCTTTTATCCATGTTCTAGAATCTAGGGCTTGGAATTCTCTCTTGGCAATGGCGGCGCTCACAGGCAAGCCGGTCGGATCTCTATCGCAGCGCTGCTAGTCTATGAGATCGCAGCCAGGCAACAGGGAGGCCCTCCAGATCTTGGACAGGAATCGGCAATGCGGCTCAAAGGCGCCGAGCGTTCCAGCGCTGGTGGCCGCGATCAAGGCGTGCGGCAGCGCCCGAGACGTCGAGGCCGGGATGAGAATCCACGCCGGCGCCGCCATGGCCGGGATGGATTCCAACATCTTCGTGGCCAACACGCTGCTCTCCATGTACGCCAAATGCGGCGCCATGGAGGACGCCTGCCGGGTGTTTGACGCCATCGAGAGCCACACCGTGGTCTCCTGGAACGCTCTCGTGCTGGGATACGCTCGAAACCTGGATGGAACGCGAGCTCTCGAGAGTTTCTCGCGGATGACAGACGCGCGCTTCGATCCAGACGCTCGGACTTACAACGCGGTGTTGAAGGCTCTGGCGATCTCTCTGGAAAAGGAGTTGGGAGGAGATGGGGATGTCGCGAAGAAGAAGCGGCACTTCTTGGAGAAAACTCTGGCTGTTCACGCTCGGCTCAAGGAGGCCGGTCACGAGCGTGACGTCTTCGTCGCGAGCTCGCTGGTGGATTTGTACGCGAAGTGTGGCAGCTTGATCGATGCGAGCAATGTTTTCGAGAGAATGGCTCGCCACGATGCTGTCTCGTGGACTGCTCTCATTCTGGGACATGTCCAAGGTGGTGAGTTTCAAAAAGCTCTGGATCTCTTCTCGAGGATGGTGGGAGAAGGCTTCCAGCCGGATGCTCGAGCGTTTGTCGCGGCACTCAAGGCCTGTGCGAGCTTAGCTAGCAGCGAAGAAGAAGGCTCGATTTTCTTTGGGCTTGAAGAACAGGGATCCGGATCAAGCGAAAGAAAAGATGAAAGTAGGATTGTTTGCTTGGAGATTGGAGTAGCGATCCACGCAGAACTGGAGAAGTTGGGGCTGGTGGAGAGTGACTTGTTCGTGGCGAGCAGCCTGGTGGACATGTACGCGAAGTGTGGATGCATGGAGGATTCGACGCGAGTTTTCGAGCGGATGAAACAGCGAGACGTGGTGACTTGGAACTCGCTGCTCATGGGATTTGCTCAGGGAGGAGAAGCGAAGATCGTTCTAAGCCTCTTCCATCGATTGCAGCAACAGGGAAGGGGTGTGGAGCCAGACACTCGGACTTATATTGCGGTTTTCAAGGCCTTTGCCAACTTAGCAGCGAGAAACTACAAAGATGGCGATCTCAGGTCGTGGTGTCTGGATCAAGGGCGAGCTATCCACTTGCAGATGAGCCCACTCAGTTCTTCCTCGACGGAGATCTTCCTGTGGAGCACTCTCGTCGACATGTACTCCAAGTGTGGGAGCCTGATCAATGCCAGAGAGATCTTCGACAGCGTCTCCAAGCCCGACTTGGTGCTGTGGAACTCGATCATCCTCGGGTGTGCTCTCAACGACGAAAACGAGCTCGCCTTGGAGCTCTTGGATCGACTCCAGCAGCAGAACCTCTCGCCAGACGATGGAACTTTCGTGGCGGCGCTCAAGGCCTGTGGAAACTCGGCAGCACTGGAAACCGGAAGAACGATCCATACTCAGGTCCTCAACGCTGGACTCGAGAGCAATCCACTCGTCGCAACTAGCCTGGTGGATTTCTACGCAAAGTCTGGCAGCATGGACGAAGCTCGCGACGTCTTCGACACCATGGATCCTGCCAAGAGGAGCTCGGTGACCTGGAACTCTCTCCTCTCGGGCTACTCGCGAGTTGGCGATCACAATCAAGTCTTTCAAGTCTTCGAGAGCATGAAGGCTGGAGCGTCGTCGCGAGCTTGCGAGATTGTGAACGGGGTTACTTTTCTATGCCTCCTCAATGCTTGCAGCCATGCCGGCCTGGTGGACAGAGCTAAAGACTACTTTGAGTCGATGAGAGGTGACTATGGAATAGCTGCGACTGAGGATCACTATGCTTGCATGGTGGATTTGTTTGGACGATCAAACCAGATGGCAGCTGCTGTTAGTATGGCGGAGAGCTTGCCTCTGGAGAGTGGAAGTGGATTGAATAGGGCTGTGTGGATGACAGTGTTGAGCTGCTGTGAAAGAATGGGGAACAAGGAGATTGGAAAGCTTGCGTTTGAAACGATTGTGAAATTAAACCCAGATGATGCCCCGGCCTACGTGCTTTTAGCAAACACGTGCTTGTAAATAGCTCTTGTTTATCTTGAATCTTCTAAGTCTTTCTTCAGTAAATCTAAATGTAATATGAAATTAATGTGTTTGTTAGTGCCACTTTTCTCCTTGATTATGATTGAGCAATACCAATTCCTTTAGTTTGAATTAAGTAGTGTGATATTTAATAGTTTTTCATTAGAATATATAGTGTTTAATATTAGTATTGTGAGTGTATGAAATATGGAAAGAAAATATAGAAAATTTATATATCAATTAGCCCAAAAACCTTAGTTTATATACAGGAGCGAGTGGTTTGGATTGAAATCAATCTAATGGCTACAAAAATCTTATGCTAATATTAATATATTGTAACCATATGTAAGCCACAAATTTTTCCTTTCCAATTTGTCAGCTTACCTCATTTATCCAACTAACACTGCCTTGGTTTGTGCTAAATTCCCTTGCCAAAGTTCCCGCCTATTGTACCAGCTCCTACTTGGCCGTACTTGGTTTTAGCTACTCACTATATAAGCAACGGAGCAGTAGCCATCCATCCACGGATTCCCAAATCTCTCCCAATCCCCCTTCCCGGGTTGGACTGGACTTAAGGTTCGGCTACACTCCCCGTAGACACAAGCAACCAAGCACACCAAGCCTCTAGGTTCCTAACACCCCTTGGTACAACAAGACTTGATCATGGGACCCTCTAAATCCCAAGCCTTAGGTGCAACACTTACTTCAGAACATCGGGGCGAAACACCATGGCCTAATAGCCCAGTATGGGTACCTCTACCCCCCCACTTCCATCCCGAAGGGAAGGCCCAAGCCCCTAAGAAGGGCGAGGACTAATGAGCCACAAGGTACTCAAGTAGGGCACCACTCCACATGAGCCAGGAGCATTGTAGTTGGTTTCCCTTTCAGGAGTGGGAGTTGCTCTTGAGCACTTCCCTGGGTGGCCCCTCCAGCACCACCCAAGCCCATGCTCACTCCCACCCAAAGCCCTTTTGCCCTAATCTTAACTTCAAGTCAGTTTGGAAGCACCATTGGAGAGTTCCTTCAAGACTAGTTCTTGGACCTCATTGTCCCTATTATACTTTTGGAACCCCCCTGCAAACCCCCCCCCCCCCCCCCTCTGGGAGACGCACGCTTTGGGCTTTCACCCCTTGACCCGTATTAGTATTCGGACTCGGTCTCGGACTCAATCTCGAACTCAATCTCGGACCCGATCTCAGACTCGACCTCGGACTCGGTCTTGGACCCGATTCGGATCTCGGATTCTGTCTCGAACTTGGTCTCCGATTTAGCCTCGAGCTCGATCTTGGACTCTATCTCAAACTCAGTCTCAGAGTCGGTCTTGGACTCGATCTTCGACTTGGTCCTATCCGATGAACTCTTTGTCATTTCGGTCATGCTTTCAGGGATCCTTTAACCTACGACACGTCGGGGAGTCGGTTCCTTACAACTCCACCACCCATAAAAGAAGTTCAATGCCCACATCGAATGTCTTTTTTTGTCCTACGACTTGTTGACCATGTCTCCGGGGGCATCTCCCCACTTAGTGGTGTGCCTAAGTTAGCCTCCCCGGCCAAGAGCCCATGACAACGGAATATAGGTGTCCCTATACCCCTCACCTCACCACGCTCTAGTATGGGGTCGAGACTTGAACCTAGCCTTGCTTTACTAGGGGGTTGGGACTCGAACCCAACCTTCGTAAAATACGTCTACGGGTTTGACATCCCCGCAGGGAGTTGGGCGTAATGCCCTACGCTTGGTCGACCTAACTAACCCATGCTAATTAGCTTACCTTCGGCGCGCCTTCGGGTCCCAACATATGCCACTGCTTAACTTCGCAAATTGATACTTTAATTGAACTTTGTATAAGTACATAGAGTTCTGCCTTGCAAAAATTCCTCCACTAGATCTCGCACGTTCGCTAGGTTCTCCTCCGGTTCCCATGTTGCTTTGCAGTGTGGAAATCCTTTCCACTTCACATGGAACTCTCTCACCTCGCGTCCTTGTCGCTTGCTCTTGCACGCATTGAGGATGGCCTCGACTTCGTATTCCTCTTCCCCTTGGATAACCTCAGATAAAGGTCTTACTTGGTTCTTGCGAAGCGGATCCTCAAAGTACAGCTTGAGTAAGTTCACGTGGAACACTGGGTGCATCTTCCCCATCTCTTGTCCCGAGACATAGCATTGCAAATAATCCTCCAGCTGCCTATTCACCCTTTCCATTTGTCCGTCTGTCAAGAAGTGTTAGTGCCATCAAACTTGACTTAATACCCAATACCTGTCTGTGGGTGATAGGCAGTGCTGAATTTCAACTTGGTGCGATACTGTTTTAGGAGAGTTCTCCAGAACCTACTGGTGAAGATCTTATCTCGATCTGAGATAATCTCTTCTGGCCTTCCCCGCACTCGAACCACTTGTTCGAAGAATAGCTTTGCCACACCTTTCACATCCACTTCCGTTGTGGTGGGTATGAAATGTGCCATCTTCGAAAATCGGTGCACCACCACGAATATTGTATCAAACCCCTCACTTGGGGGGAGTCCTATGATGAAGTCCATCGTAAGACATTTCCACGGACGATTCGGAATTAGGATGCTTTGCAACAAGCCCCCACTAGCCTTAGTCACGGCTTTTACCTACTAACATGTTGGACGTGTCTTTACATAGTCTTGGACATTCTTAGCCATATCTGGCTAGTGATACTTCCTCTTGAGTAAGCTCATTGTCTTGGGCACTCTGCCGTGTCACGCAAAAGGTCCGTCATGACACTCTTCTAAGGCTACCTTCCTTAGTTCCCCTTCTGGAACATACACTCTTGTTTATTTGTAATAGATGAGTTCATTGCGTTCTGCATAGTCCATTTTCTCTTCCGTTGGCAGCTCACCTCTCTGGTGAGCTTCCCATGCCTTTAGATTCCTCAGCAACACTTTTTGTGTTAGACCATCATTCTCATATGCTGTCCGCACTTCGTCCCAAAAAGTTGCTGTCATATTAGATATCGCCAACCTCAAGCTCGCTTTTCGACTTAGCGCATCCGCCACGATGTTGCTCTTCCCAGGCATGTACAGAATCTCGCAATCAAACTCGGCCAAGGCATTGGCCCACTGACCTTATTTCCCTCTCAGGTCGGGCTATGACAAGAAGTGTTTCGTTGCCACATTGTTCGTGTAAACTTTGAAGTGTCTCCCAAGGTAGTGTCACCACTCCTTGAGTGCCTTGACCACCGCAAACAATTCTTTCTTGTGGGCAGGCCACTTCCGTTGAGCCTTGTCCAACTTCTTCGAGAAGAACGCTATTGGATGGTTGTCTTGCTTCAAAACTACGCTTAATGCAAAGTCCGAAGCATCTGTTTCTACCTCAAAGTCCTTACTAAAGTCTGGTAATGCCAACACGGGAGCCTCCCTTTGAGGTGGACGAATGCCACCTCGCATTTCGTTGTCCATACAATCTTCCCTTTTCCCGTTTGGTCCGTTAAGGGCAGGGCTACTCTCGAATAGTGTTTGATAAACTTTCGGTAGTAGTTGCATAGCCCCAAGAACGCCCTTAGCTTATGTACATTCGATGGTCGTTCCCATTCCTAGATCGCTGGGACCTTCTCCGGGTCCACCTTGAGCCCGTCCTGGCCCACCACATGCCCAAGAAACTTTACCTCTTGTTGAGCAAAGTCACATTTGCTCTCTTTAGCATACAGTTTGTATTCCCTTAGTTTCTCAAACACCTTCGCCAAGTGTCCGGCATGCTCTTCTAGTGTCTCGCTATAGATTAGGATGTCATCGATATAGACGACCACGAAGTAATCCAAATAGGGTATAAAGATATGGTTCATCAACGCCAAAAACATTGCCGACGCATTACACAGCCCAAAGGGCATCACCAGAAACTCAAAGCTCCCATACCTGGTTCGACAGGTTGTCTTCTCGACATCTTTCTATGCTACCCTGATCTGGTAGTATCCTGACCTCAGGTTAATCCTCGAGAAGTATTTTGCCTTTCCCAACCTATTGAACAGTCCTCAATCCTTGGCAAAGGGTATTTGTTCTTCTTTGTATACTTGTTGAGCAACCAGTAGTCTATGCACATGCGCATAGATCCATCTTTCTTTTTCACAAATAACACCGGCGCCCCATACGGTGACTTGCTCAACCTAACATACCCTTTGTCCACCAACTCCTTTAGTTCGCACTTGAGTTCCTCGAGTTCTTTTTCGTTCAAACAATAGGGGGGATGAACCACCGCCTTAGCACCCTCGACCAGCTCAATCTTATGTTCTATCAGTCGTGTAGGGGGCAACCCTGCCGGTAACTCCTCTGGCATGGTATCCTGGAATTGGTCTAACACTCGTTGGATCACTAAAGTTACTTCTTTCGTTCCTGTCTTTTTGTCACTCTTCACCGAGAGTAAGCACCAAAATGCTGCCTTAGTTCCTTTAGTGAGTTGTCCTCTCATGGACACCAGGTTTAAGTAGGAATATTTGGCCTTGGTTTGCCCTACCTTTAGATCCTGGGCCTCCACCCTAGATCTTCTTCCTTGGGCATTCGCCAGTACCACAAGGTTCCTACCTTGTCCATACAGGGCTACCACAAACTGATTGAACCAATCCATTCCAAAGATCATGTCAAATCCCGCCATGTCCAACACAGTGAAATCCATGTCTACTTTCCATGTCCCTACTTAGACTCTCGCTTGTCAAAGTACCTCATCGGTGCTTTAGCTACCTTGAACAAACTCTATAGTCCTTGATTCGCCTAGCTGCTGCACCGTTAGTCCGGCTTGCCGGACTATATCTGCAGCCACAAAATTATTCAAAGCACCCGTGTCAATAAGGATCTTAACAAAGCTACCTCCGAGCTTCCCTCAGAGGGTTAGTAGATGTCGCGAACGACTCTCTACCAAAGTTGCTCATGTAATGAGTAACTTTGAGTTAGGGACTACCTCAGTTTAGACTTCACTCGACTTGATGGCCATATTGGCTCGGGCCTTCTTTGGGTAGGGACATTCCCTCAAAAAGTGTCCCGTTTCACC